AGGAGAGCCGCTGAGGCTAGGCTTATGTCAGGGGTATCCCTGAATGGAGGCCTAGAGAGGCTAATGTGTGAAACTGTGAAGGTGAATCCTGGATCGCCTTGGAGACACCAACATGCTGGAAATGCTAGAGGCATGAGATCCCTGTCAAGAAGAGCTTCTAACAAGGAGTGGAACCAGCCCAAGAGAAAGAATGTATTACAGTCAAAAAAGCTGAAAGGAGTTGGATATCTGAAGAGTGCTTTGACATCAGATATGGAGTTTGAAGTTTGCTCAGCTGGTGTTGTCTTGCCTTGATTCAGTATTTCCTCACGCTCCTCCCTTTCCTCCATTTTGGAGCAGTAATGTAAATTCTGTGCCATTATATGTTGGATGTGATGTTTTTTTATTTTGATTTTATAGAGGATTGCAGTGAATAGATTGAATGAATCTCAGAAGAGACTTTGAACTTTGGACTTTTAAACATTGTTGAGACTGCGATAGACTATGGGACTTTTGAAGTTTGACTAAATGCATTTTGCATTATGGTATGGTTACAAGCCTATGGGGGCCATGGAGTGAAATGTGGTGATTTGATTAGGTATGGTCCCCAGAGATTCATGTGTTTGAATGCTTGGCCGATGTGGGTAGCACTATTAGGAGGTGTGGCCTTGTTGGAGGAAGTGTGTCATTGTGGGGGCAGGTATTGAAGCCTCGTATGCTCAAGCTATGCCTACTGTGGGTGACAGTTCACTTCCTGTTGCCTGAAGATCAAGATGCAGAACTCTCAGCTCCTTTTCTGACACTATACTGCCTGCACTCTACCATGAAGATAATGGAATAAACCTCTGAAACAATAAACCAGTCTCATGTAGCATGAATCTTAAAGATCTTATTAATAAAATCAAACCTGAAGCCAGGTATTGGGGTGAATGCTGGAAGACCAGAGAAGTACAACAAGCCACAGCTTCCTCACCTCGCCAGTTCCTTAGCTAATCCTGTTGGAACTGGAAGCCTCTGAGTCCTCATCCAAATGGATCTCAGCTGAACTGCTGCTCAAAAGCCTAAAAGCTTAACCACCTAAAAGCTTCTAGTTTCTGGTCTTCATGCCTTATATATCTTTCTGCTTTCTGCCGTCACTCCCTGGGATTAAAGACGTGAGTCACCATGCCTGGCTGTTTCCAGTGTGGCTTTAAACTCACAGAGATCCAGATGGATCTCTGCCTCCCAAGTGATAGGATTAAAGGCGTGTGTGCCACCATTTCCTGGCCTCTATATCTAGTGGCTGCTCTGTTCTCTGACCCCAGAAAAGTTTATTAGGGTGCACAATATTTTGGGGAACACAATATCACCACAGTCTCAATTAAATGTTTTCTCTTATAAGAGTTGCTGTGGTCATGGTGTCTCTTCACAGCAATAGAAACCCTAACTAAGACAATGAGTAAATATCAGTTACATTATATTAAGTGAAAGAAGGAATAATCAAAAGATTGCATAACTACATAACTTCTTAGAACTCTCTAGAAATCACATTCTCCAGTGGTTAAGAGAAACAGTTCAGTATAGGCCTGGATATAGGAAAGAGGCACAGAAGAACATTTTAAGTAATATGTAAGTGTTCTATATCTTTGCTATCATGGTGGTTATCATGGTGGCAAACACATTTGACAAAACTATATGAATCTTACTATATTTAAATTATTCCATGATAAACCTTGCAAAAAAAGACTTAATCTACGTATTTATCCTCATTTGTGTTAGTTTGAGTTCTTTTGAAAGAGTATTAGTTCACTTCAGCGGCTTTTATGGTAGTTAGCAAACACTATGCCATGCTATGAGGAAGAGGTATGGCCTTCCACATATTCAGAAAGAAATAAGATACTTCATAAAATGGGTTCTTACTTTTCTTGCTGCTTCAATAATGATTCAAAAGCAATACTGAAATATTCAGAACTATGTGGCAGTAAATTGTATCATGTTACAGCCTGTTGGCTACAACTCAAAAAGTATTTAGAGAAGACATTTGTGGAAAAAATAATGAAGACTGAAAATCGATGAATGAAGCCTTTAACAGAAGAAGCAAATGTAAAACAAAAAGTAAATAAAATAAAGAAAAACACAAAAACAACACATTAAAAACTTAGTAGATTAAATCAGTAGATCATTTTACAACACAGATGAATCACTGGGCCTTTGAAATATAATGTGCATCACTAATCACCAATAATTTATAAAATGAACCCTTTCTTAAACTAACTTGACTACTAAACCATTTTGTGTGCTTTTATGTATATGATTAAACTTTTCTTTTAAGTAGGATAAAAATTAGGGGGAAAAATCTGGTCCATTTTTATTGTTGTGTGAATTTTTTCCTGAGGAGAAGTAAATAAACACCCATTCACCCCAGACAGGGACACCAATGGCAAACCAAAACAAGAATTCCATCAAAGTTCATCTTGGTGAGCCAATGAACTTATTCAAGCCTATCCACAATAGGCTGTGTTTTACAAGCCTACCCTCTAGACAACCTAGGCACCACACCCCAGGTTCTGAACCCCTCTCTGACCCAGATTACCCTCAGTGCTAGACTGGCCCCAGAAACCTCAAATTTCTGTCCTCACCAAGCACCAAGATGATCTGTGTAGCCTTAGTCATCAGACTGAGCCTCCAAGATGAGCCTTGCATAAATAGGCTCCAATCCCAGTAAACACTGAGCTAGTCCTGTGGTCCTACACTCTTAGACAGTTTACTTAAACTGATCTTCAAGGCACCTTGTAGAAGAGGGAAGGATTCTACAGTTCCAGTCTCTAATTCTGCTTAATAGACTCTCTCTCTGGGAGCTGTTAAAGTACTTAAACTTCATCAGTCCTATATTCCACATTGGTGCCAATAACAGGCAGGTAGACAATGAACTTCCTATCTACCTTCAATAGCTTTTAAACCTTACAAAATCATGTTTCAGGTCTTCTAAGGGCCAAATGTTTTGAGAGTCCCAAGCTTTATTCCATCTCTATTGTTAGTTACAGGCATTACAGAAAATACAAATAAAAAATACCTCTATAAAAACAGTGTACAGAAAACATGTATGGAAAAATACGGAGGTCCTCAAGTAATAAAAAATAAAACTATCCTATGATACAATAATCTTAGTTTCAAGTAAAGATGCAAGGAATTCATTAGTATATTATGCAGTCTAGAAATATGCAGTTTCATGTTCAATGAAACATTATCACAATAGCTAAGATGTGAAAAACTTGAATATCCGTAAGTGCCTAAAACATTGAGGAAAATGTAGTATATGTGCATGGTGGAAAACTAATGTGTCTTAGGAAGGAAAGTCTACCATTAATAACAACATGAACAGTACTAGAGTATCTAATGTTGTTGTTAGCATTAATTGTCAACTTGACAGAATCTAAAATCACCTGGGAGATGGGTCTCAGAGAGTAACTATGAGGGATTATCTTGATTGTTATATTTGAGGTGCAAAGGCATGGCCACTATAGGTGAAACCATTCCCTAGGCAAAGAGCATGTGCTATCTAAAATGGGGATAGTGAGCTGAACACTGGCATTCACTGTTCTTTTCTTCTGCGAACATAAAGTGACCCAGCTGCTTCAAGCTCTTTCTGCCTTGACTTACCTGCCATGCTAGACTTTACCTTAAACTATGGACTAAAATACACCATTTCTTCCCTAAGTTGCTTTTGAGGGCATCACAGCAACAGAAGGCACTAAAACATATGCTAAGTAATGAAAGACAAACAAACATGATCTCAACATAAACTATAATTTAATTCATTGAAGTAGACAATATCATGGTTACTGCCAGATAGTGAGCATCTGGGCATCTCCAAAACCACCTAATTCATGAATTGCTACACCATGCATGTATTAAGTGGAAAAATGAAGCCTCCACCCATCTCAGTGCAGGACAGTGCCCTCCTACTAGGTGTTTCTAACTGGCTGGTGATAGGTCAATTACAAAGACATGGCTATGATATCTGCTTTCTGTTTTCTTCCCAGCAAGTTGTTTGGCAAAAGAAAAGGGACTTACTATGAAGGATCTATCACATCTCATTTAAATAAACCCTCATTCAGTCTCTTCAGATCACTGATTTCAGGGTTTCCTAAAGAAAACCAATAAGTTATTTTAGGAATTTCTTAAAGGAATTGGTGGAATATCATCAAACTACAGAAAGTTGTAACATGGAAACAGACCAACTCTACACTTGCTAGCAAAATGTCTCTTGCTGAGATGTTTCAGCTTATTGATGACCAACTTGCAAAAGTTTATCCTTATTGTCCCAGAATCTTTAGAGACAAAGTTAAACCAATACAATGCCAACTTTGGATAGAAAAACCATCCAAAGATGAAGCATTTTAGAGAAGCTAAAATGACAAATGTTAAGATGGAAGATATGAGAAGGAACTGGCTGGGTTCTCTTGATTTCCCAGTAAAAGAACACTCGGTAAAGAAAGAAAACACACTGAGAGACTTAAACAAAAGACATTTGTGCTCAAAGACAGCTTCTGCAAAATGATAGATATTGGCTCAGAGAAGAAAAGCAGAGCTGAAGAAAAGAACTGAAGCTTTGGAATTGATCCAGAAGCTGCAAGAAGAAAGAACTAAAACTGAAGCCGAGGCACTCAGGAGTCAGGAATAGAATCTAAAGAACAGGAAGAGAGAGATCTATGATCAAAAGCTCAACACTGAACTCCAGTGACAGCTGGAAGTAAGGGATGATTGCATCGCTAGAACTAATAACCTGCTAGAAGAGGAAAGGAAGAATAAAGACAACACCTCACCTGCAAGAGAACCTCACATTATTCATTCAAAAACGGAAGAACTCAGGATATCTGAAAATCAATTGACAGCAGCTGAGGTGTAGCTAGTCTGCCCAAATCCCTCCCCGACTTTTTTAATTCAAAACAAAACCATTTGCTGAATGAAAAGATGAAAGAGAGAAAGTGGAGCTTCAGGCACAAAATAATTACTTAAACAGCAACTAGAAGAGAATAAGAATGGGAAAACTCCTAGATCATATAACTCAGCCACCTCCTGAGCCTTTTTGTTTCCAGAAAGAATTACAGAAAGCAGAAAATGCTATAGCGCTTAAAGCACAAGGTGCTTGAACTCATGGGCAAGCGTGGTAAAACAGTTGTAAAGTGAAACTGAACATTCTACACAGCTAAAGGTCCAGATATTTGGATATGATCTTTTGACAAAAGGTTAGCTACTCTGGTTTCTCATGTAAAATGCAACTAAAAGAAACTCAGAGACTCTGGAGAAGGAATGTTCCAAAGCAGTCTCTGATGTCATTCTCTGAGTGGCCTAGTGAGTGGCAAGATGGCAGCTCACAATCTGGATACAAGTGGAAGTTTCTGGAATGTGCCCCTTGAACAGAACAAAGTTATGGCAGGTGGAGTCAGGTCAAGGGTCTCAGATTATGCAAATGCAGTGACAAAAGCTAACTCCACAGATTCTTGAGTTTCCAGCCAGTACTAAGGCAAATATATATATATATATATATATATATATATATATATATATATATATATATATATTCATATATTCAACCAAAATAATCAAAAGATGAAGGGCAGTACTTAAAACAAGAATTTTTTTAAAAATTAATGAATGCATTGTATAAAAAGCTTCAACGAACAAAAATAAAAGATATCATAAAATTAATAAAAAGGGAATTATTTGAAGTTGCTTATTCATAGGAAATAAGCATCAATTGTATTTATTAATTTTAAAATCTCTCTCTCTCTGCCTCCCCCCTGTGTGTGTGTGTGTGTGTGTGTGTGTGTGTGTGTGTGTGTGTGTGTGTGTGTGTGTTTGAGGCTCATGCTAGGCAATCACTCCAACGCTAAGCTGTTGACCCAGGCTCTATTTTCTTTTTTAGGCAAAGAAGGAGTGCATGCCAATTTACTTCATGGCAACCAGAAACACTTAACAGGCATTTGAAAACAAATATACTTCAAATACGTTGGATTTGATAGGTTTCCACACACCTTACTCAACTAGTAAATCAAAAGTCAATATCACTAGTCTTCAGTAATGAAAGCAAGCCTACAATTATTGTTTTCCAAATTCTAAGTTATTTATCATTGCATCTGTGTTAGCAAGATACCAAATAAACTGAGTGGTACCATTTTAACTAAGCTAATTTTAAATTGTTTACAAAATTAAACCACAAAACAATTTTTAACCTGACACAGCTTCTTCTTAGGAAAAGATAATTGGTATCTAAGTAATTCAGACACGTATTTTAATGTGAGCATGTGTCGTTTAAATGAAAATCAATAGAAAAACTGTTCACTTTCCAGTGAAAATAGCTTGAACACACTGAAAAGATTTGGTAATATTGAGCAACAGACCATGAGAAACTGTTTGTTATCAATAGTCAGTGCTGAGTTCCTTATCTAATGAGGTGAGGAGACACCAAGAGTGGTTAATAATCCCACAAACTGCTCCTAATCAAACCATTTCAACAATGTTAATTATGTAACTAAGAAGATTGTACTGTGAAATAGGAATAACTATAAAACCACCGATTTTGTCTTTATTGTGTTGTAGAAAACTCATTTTCTAAAGCTAAATGAAGCTCAAAATACAGTATTTCCTTTTACAGAAATTGCTTCAAGAACTATAAGTGTGAGAAGGTTTAAACAGAAAGATGAAATTTAAATTCTCAAAAGTTCATTCAGAGTTGGGGGGATTAATTTTATAATTTGAATAAACTCTGTCATATGCTAAACAAGTGATTGAGCTTTAACTATTGTTACAATGAGATATTCATTCATTATGAAATATGATTCTGAATGGATTTATGTCAACTTGACACAAGCTAAAGTCCTTTGGGAAGAGGAAACTTTAATTGAGAAACTGCTCCTATAAGATTGCAAGTCTGTGGTATATTTTAAATAGTGTTTGATGTGGGAGGTCCCAGACCATTGTGGGTGGTACTACCCATGAACAGGTAATACTATAAGAAAGCAGGTAGAGCAAGTCAGTAAGCAATGTTCCTTCGTGGTTCTGCTTCAGTTCCTGCCTCTAGGTTCCTGCCTTGAGTTCCTGGACCTGAGTTCTTTTCAATGATGTTCTATAATGTGGAACTATCCGATGAGATAAACCCTTTCCTCCCCAAGTTGCTTTTGGTCATGATGTTTTATCAGAGCAATAGGAATCCTAACTAGAACAGATGTTTTGTTTTTTTTGTTTGTTTGTTTGTTTGTTTGTTTGTTTGTTTGTTTGGTTTTTTGAGACAGGGTTTCTCTGTGTAGCTTTGCGCCTTTCCTGGAACTCACTTGGTAGTCCAGGCTGGCCTCGAACTCACAGAGATCCTCCTGGCTCTGCCTCCCGAGTGCTGGGATTAAAGGCGTGCGCCACCACCACCCGGCTAGAACAGATGTTTTTATCATAAATAGATTGAGACTGAATTTCTCAGTTAAGTAGCATAGGCATTTTAAAAGATGTTGATACTAGGACTCGAAAGACAGCTCAGCAGTTAAGAGCACTTCCTGTTCTTGAAGAGGATCGAGGTTCCATTCTCGGCATTCACATGGCGACTCACACCGTCTGTAACTCCAGTTCCAGGGGATCTGATACCCTCTTTTGACGTCCCTGGACACTAGGAACAAGCTTGCAGACAAAACCCTCATACACATAAAAAAAAAAGATATAAAAATCTTTTTAAAAAATGATTAAAAAGATTTCCATATTATCAAATTTCTCCTCAAAATAACATTCAATCACCAATATTATGTTATATTTAACATAGAATGCATTATATATGTAATATAAAATTATATGTTACATATAATACATAACACTTTTAAAATGTAATTATATGACACTATATATTATATGTCATATATAATTGTGAGCAAACAAGCCTGTTTTTCTGCCATTCTTCAGGTCAGTCACTAAAACAATGAGTTTGACAAAGGAGGGTTTATTCAAGGCAACCAAATGTACAGCATGGAGACTCAAATTTGAAGCCAGCCTCCCCGATAAAAGCATTGAGGATAAAGAAACATCGTGAATAAATAAATAAAGAAAAATAATTAGAAGTGACCAGTGGTCTGCACATGAATACTCAATATGGCTATTCATAGGATATATACTCTGAAAAGAGCAGTTGGCACTGCCAAAAAGTAGGGATTTTGGCCTGCCAATACGACATCAAAATGCCACCCAATGGAAATCTGTACAAGCCCCAGTAAAGAGTAATCAACAATAGTTAAACTACCTCAAGACTGATGGCACATAGCTCTGCTGTTTGACTTCCAGAATTAGTATTTGTTTTTTCCAAAGCTTACTAAAACCAAATAAGACAGCACACAAAGGCTCAGAGCCAGAGAACTGACACATGCACACAGTTATCTGCTGTCAGTGAGAACAGGCCAGCTGCATTTGTTGACTACTGATGATTAAATTTAGAGTTCTGAACTCCCATGGGATCTCAGTGAAGTAATTCTTGTTTTTTGTTGTGATTTGTTTGTTTAGTGGTTATATACTTGATCATAGTTCTTGAAACTAAATGGTTTTCAAGACCATAAAGGAGGATACGCAACAGAAAATAAGAAGTAAGAAAAACATTTTCCAACCTTATAATTCAGTTTTTTCCTCTGACTTCGAATAAAATAAACCTGTATCATTAATAGAATGAAATGAAGTAGAATATAAGTGACATATACCAAGTATCTACTGTGTTAGAGGTACTTTTTCACCTCAAAACCTAATGAAGTCATCTCTCCTTTCCTAATTGTTTAATATGGAAACAGTTTTTGCAGTTTCAACCAAACTTCGCAGTGACAGCTAGTTATTAAGTAGCTAAACAAGATTTGAAATTAACTTACTCTGAATGAAAAAAAATCATGTTGGGTAAAAACTGTCATAGTTGGAAAGGAAAAGGTATACACATACATATGTACATGTTGTAGTTTGAATGAAAATGGCCCCCGTAGGGTGATGAGAGTGACACTATTAGGTGTTGGAGGAAGTGTGTCACTGGGGGTAGGATTTGAGGTTTCAGATGCTCAAACCAGGTCTACTGTCACTCTCTCTTCCTGCTGCCTGTCTATCCAGATGTAGAACTCTCAGCTCCTTCTCCAGGACAATGTATGCCTGTGTGCCACCATGCTGTCATGCTTTCCACCATGATGACAATGTACTACACCTCTGAACCGTAAGCCAGTCCCCAGCTAAATATTTCCTTTAGAAAAGTGGCCATGGACTTAACAGCAATAAAAATCCTAAGACAATGCGCACATACACACACACACACACACACACACACACACACACACACACACACACACACACATTTGCACTCAAGGGAGATTATGTTTTTTCCTAGGATACTATATTAATCTCAGATTATTCCATTTGTGCCATTAAACATTCTATAGTAGTATTTCCTGTCTGTATTTTATTCGAAGTCAGAAGGATGAGTACATATGATCTCGTATTTGAGATAAGGAAAACTGTATCAAAGGACATGGACTGTACCATGGAAGGCCAAATAAGAGCTAAGTTAGGACCAGACATACTATGTTTAACTCAAAGATGCAAGTGTAAGCTGAGTGTGGTAGCACATAACCCCATCATTTGGGAGGTAGAGGTGGGAAATACTTGTCATCCTTAACTATGAAGTAAGTTTGAGTCCAACTTGGGCTCAACAAATGAAAAAAGAAAGAATGAAAAAAAAGAAAGACTGAATAATTGTAAAAACTGAAGTTTTAGATTTCTTTCTTTCCAGTTTTTGAAATAGGGATTTCATTATACTGTCCAGGTTAACCTTAAACTCACTGCCCTCTTGCCTCAGCATCTGACATTAATGGAGACTGTAACCACAGTCAGATAGGATTCATTTTCTGTCATAAAGAACTTAAGTTGAGCTTCACAAATTTATATAAGCTCTATACTGTAATTCTGGGCCTTACAATAGACATCTGTGACACTGAGCATCCCTTAATCTAGGTTAAAAGAGATGACTGGGGAAGAAAGGGAGAGCCAGAGAGCAGGACATGAAAATAGACATCTTCACAGAATCTCCAAAGACAACAGACTTCTCATTTCTCTTCTCTTCAGTGACAATTTACTGTTCTTTCTGTTGTCCTTATTCTAGACAACAGTAGACATAGGTCTTTTCTATTGCTGTTTGCAAAAGTATAGTGTTATTAAAGAAGACTGTACCTCCCAGTAACAGTGGCTCCTACCATCACAAGCCATATATCCCCATTCCTTGTTTGACAGTTCCAACTTAACGCATTTCTACCAGTTTCTTAATCATCTCATTCTTCCTTTCCCCTCACTAAAACTTATTTCTCTATGTTATATTACATTGTCATTTTAATGGTGAGATCAATTGGTGTCTGTGTGTTGTATGCATGTGTGCATATACATGTATATGTAATACATAAGATTGTACATACAGATTCTTATCACAGCTCATATAATCAAAATATTATGTGATA